TAAAAAAAAAGTCACATTGCATCTGATAGGCATCTGGCATTTCAAATAAATTAAATTATTTGGGCCCAACATGCATCCTTTTGCTACTCATTTCACTTCACAGTTTCAGACTCAACATTTACTCTCATTCTCCTCACCCAACTTCCTCTTAAGGCTGGACATAGTTGTAGCTAGCACTTCCTGTTCCATATTATGTACTTAAATCCACTGGTTCTGCTGCCAGTGGCAGGTCTGCAACTGATAAGAGAAGCTGGTAATGCAGGTGGGTCTGTGGCACTGTCACAGGGCCCTGATAAACGTCTGGCTGACAATGAAAGGCCAGTTGTCTGGAAAATGCAATTAAAAAAACAATATAAATATGGATGTCCTGGTGGCTAAAAGAGTTGAATGAGTCATGGTACCAGTTGGCCAGAAGGTCCCTTTCCTACCTGGAAAACAAAGTGATGAGGGTGATGAGCCCACCATGTGTAGCACAAGTGGAATTCTCAGCTCCTCCAGAGCAGTTCTCGCTTCTTTGTGCCCTTTGCATTAACTGCAAGAGGGGACGACCTAAGCCATGGTCTTTTTAAAAAATGTTGCTTGAATATTCTGATGAGGAACCAAAATGTTGTCCCAGAGAAATTTGAAATAAGCATCCGTCCAGTCTTTGTTGCGGTTGCTTAACCTTTCATTGAGTATATAAGAGACATACAGGACAGGGCATAATCTTAAGTGTACAACACAATGAATTTTCACAATGAATGCAGCTGTGTACCAGCACCCAGGTCAAGAAACAGCGTTCCCAGAGGGCCCCCCAACATCCTTCCAGTCATTACATTTCTCCACCCCCTACTTGAGACTGACCACTGTCCTGCCTCCAAATAGCAGAGATGAATGTTACCTGTTTTTGAGTTTTCAAGTCTGATTTCTTTTGCTCAACCTTATGTTTTGTGAGATTCACCCATATTATTGCTAGAATAACAGTTACTTCTTAATCTCCTGGTCCACATTTATTGTAGTGTTTTGGTACTTTAAATCATTCACACACCCATAAAGTGCAATTGTTAGAAATATAATTACTATGACGAACTCAAGCTCATTGAACTTTAAACAATGCTGTAGTCATGGTTATAACAGGCTTTGCAGTTTCAGACCTGATATGAAATATATGCTTTTGAGAGCTAGTATATATCATGTAGGTATTTCCTGTGTTTTAGTTGACACCTTGTGCTGAATCAAATGTTCTTCTCTGGAGCTAGACTCTTCTCTGAAGCTTCAGGTGAATCCCATTCACTATCTCCACAATGATCGCCTTTGCCTACAGATGGTAGAACTTGCTCAATCTCAGGTCTTTGTAGAATTTATTGAAAAGCAATCCCAGAAGGGGAAGTGGTGCTTGAATGGCCCCAGGACACATTCTCTGTCTCTAATTTCGACTTTTCTCCACTTGTTGATTTGACTCTGCAGGCCAGCTTTCTCCTTACAGTGAAACACATGACCACCAGCAGCCCCTCAATTTTATAACTTGTGAATTCTGCTATAAGAGAGAGAGACTGCTATCATTCTTTCAGTGATAGGTCAGAAAAATCCCAAGTACCTACTTTTGACCTGTCAGCTGTGGTAGGGACAGAGAATGAGATACTGTGACTGGCCTTGCTTACACCTGTCCTTGGCCAGTCAGCTGTGTTGAGCCATAGATCTTTCTAGAATCACATGGTGAAAAGAGGATGTTGTTCCTAGAAGGCTGTTGCTGGGCTGACCAAGCTCCAGACATCCACACCACCCTGCTTTAAACACTGAAGTTTAGGGAAGGTCATGAAAGATCATTTTATCAAAGCTGCTTAGAATTCTGAAACAAATGCTACTGACTGGTGGCTAGACTACAGTCAGAGTGATTATAATTAGGACCCTGAAATTTTTGGAGCTTTAGTCTGTACCAATTCTGAACAGTTTCCATTGGTACTTTCAAGCTCATCACTCCCTCTTATCCTCACCATCCCTAGCCAGATTTAAGATGTTAGTTACTCTCTTTCATTAGAGTGGTTTTCAACCTTTTGTAAAGTAGGAGGATGGTGTTTTTATGTTTTATTTTATTTTTTCAAAAAACCCCATCATACTGCATTACCGTATCACTAAGTTGAGAATTGGGAGTAGTTGTGGGGGTGTTTTTAAATTAAAAAAATATTTAGGGGAGGGTATAGCTCAGTGGTAGAGTATGTGCTTAGCATGCATTAGGTCCTCGGTTCAATCCCTAGTTACCTCCATTAAAAATTTTTTTAAAATAAATAAATAAATAAATAAACCTAATTACCCTCGCCCCCCCAATTTTAAAAAGTCTTTGTATCTCACACACAAGACAAAAACACCTATTTATGAATCTATAAAAATGTAGTAAAAGTAGTACCAAAACACACTACAGGGATGCACACCAGATTCCATCACCGTGGTGGCCTCTGGGCAAGGAGGATGGGGAATGGGATTGGAAATACAATAGAGGTTTCAACTTTATTTGTTGTGTTTATTACCTTTACCTCTAAAATAACTCTGGAGCGAATGTGACAGACTGTCGTGTGTGTGTGTGTGTGTGTGTGTGTGTGTGTGTGTGTGTGTGTGTGATTAAATATTTCCCCAGTTTATAGAAAGAGCTAATATATAAATTGAAAGAATAATTCCGCAAGACTCAGCCAACATTGATTATGTGGTGCTTTTCCTCCAGCAACATTAAGAAGCAGCATAGTGTAGTCGTAGTTCACTCGGGCTGGGGAGCCAGGTGGCCTGCCTGGGTTCCAGTTCCAGGTCCTGATTCCATAGCTTGCTATCTTGACAAGTTACTTTATTTCCGTATGTTTCAGTTTCCTCATTTGTAATTACCACAGGAATTACTTTTTATATTTTCAAAAGTTCTACGTCATTTGCTGTGATGTTTTTAAAAAGTTAATATATTTGTCCCTTGGTATCAGTCAAGGATTTTTTTTCCAGAATCCTCCCTGATTACCAAGATCCCTGGATGCTCAAGTCTCTTATATAAATTGTAGTCGTATTTGCATATAACCTATGCACATCCTCCGGTACTTTAAATCATCCCTAAATTATTTACAATGCCTAACACAATGTAAATGCTATGTAAATAGTTGTAAATACAACATAAATTCTGTGTAAATAGTTGCCAGCACAGCAAATTCAAGTTTTGCTTTTTGGAGCTTTCTGGAATTTTTCTTTCTCAAATATTTTCTGTTCATGGTTGGTTGAGTCCACAGATTCAGAACCTATGGCTGTGGAGGGCCAACTATACATATAAAATGCTTAGACCAGCATTTGGCATATAGGAAGCACTCAATAAATACGAGTTATTATTTGTTATTAATAGGGATAGGAATGATTTCTAATCATGGGTATGTTTTGTTATTTTAATCTATTTTTTAAAAAATTTATCTCATTTCAACTTTATAAGGCAGAGTTTTGTTGTTTTTGGGGTGGTCTTGTTTTTATTGAAGAATGGTTCACATATAATATTACATAAATTACAGTTGTACAATATAGTGATTCACAATTTTTAAAGGTTATACTCCATTTATAGTTATTATAAAATCTTGGCTATATTCCTCATGTTTTATAATATATCCTTGTATTTTATTTTATACCTAGTCGTTTGTACATCTTAATCCCCTACCCCTGTTTTGTACCAACCCCGCCTCCCCCCACCCCAGTGGTAACCTCTAGTTTGTTCTCTGTGAGTCGATATAAAGCAGGTGTTTTATTATAGGTAAGGAACATGAGAATCTGGGATGTTAAGTAACTTGACTAGATATCAAAAGCTACTAAATGATTGAGCTGAATTAGAACCAAGCTCTGTAACCCCAAAGCCCCCATTCTTAACCTCTGCATTTCATTACCACCAGCAATTTAATTTTTATCTTTCTTAAGCAACTTGCAAAGAATCAGAGAAACATTGTCAAAAGTTGTTGAATTTAGTTAAATGACCTATGATTTAGAATTGGGACTCTAGGAAAATATGTGCAGATAACCAAAGGAAACTTTTAAAATTGAGCATTTTTATTTACCATATATTAGAGTATCTACCATGTGCTAGAGACCGTATATGTGCTTTGCAGAAACTTTGTTACACTAAAGTCTTGCACCATCCTGCATGTAGGCATTCTGTTTCTTTTTTAGGGATGAGGAATCAGTCTCAGAGACACTGTGTAACTTGTGTAGAGTCACACAACTACTAAATGGAATCAAGATCATGACTACCATCACACTGCAGACTTTTTTTTTTCATTAAGCTGAACTAGCTTTCTTGCATGATCAGTTATTGTTTGTAATTTACTTTTGATGTAGATACACATATATTCTGGGTTTTTTATCTGATCATTTTGTCATTTCCTCATAGTTTACAAAATTGAAGGCAAACAGCATATAAAACAATCAGGGTTGACTTTGTGCAGCTATGTGATATAAATCATTTTTGTAATAATTCAAAGTATAATCTTTAAATTTCCTCAACTTTTTTTCCAAGGTGAAAAATATACGTTTGGATGGCCTATTAAAATAAAATAAATGTAAAAGCTGAGATTTCAAAATATCCATTTTGACTTGGTAGACTGCTCACATTTAACTGTAAAACTGTTATCATTTTATTTCTTGTGGTACATGCTGGTATTGGGTGCTTAACTTTATTTTCAAGAAACAAGGATTTTCAGGGCCTTTTCCTATCCTGAAGAAAAATGCATTGGGTGTGTTTTCAGTCATTGTTGGGCTTGTCTCAGTGTGAGATTCAGATTTTCCTGCTTTGAGTAGATCTAAGATCGTTATCATGTTGCCTTATTTTTCTGTAGTTCGTCACTTTTAGTAATTCTTATGCATTATTATAGTATAAAAACAGTGTATCTGTATATTTGATATATGGATGGAAGTCTCCCGGCAGTGAAAGTGGTATGTTTTCCCTTGACTCGTCATCATCATGGATACTGAACATCCAAGTGGCGTTATTGAAAGTGATCGTCTTCCTCTTTCACCAGGTGATCAGACTCTGAGAATTTGGGACGTGAAGGCAACTGGAGTCAGAATTGTGGTTCCAGCCCATCAGGCAGAAATTTTGAGTTGTGACTGGTGTAAATATAATGAGGTACCCTGTCTGGCTCTGTCCTGAGTTGCCAAGCTCTCCCTAATGTTGAGATGTTTTAGATTTTATTTATCTTTGTTTATGTGGCCTTTGGTAGTGTTTATGGACCATTAAGTTAAATTCAATCCCTTTCATTTCTAATTGATGATTGTGAGTGACCTGCATTAGCATTAATTGGATTTAAGTGGACATAAAACAAGCAGAATAAGAAACAGAAATTCTCAAAGTTCAACAGTGCAGCCTTACTTGTTTGTTTGGGAAACTGCTTTACAATTTCTGTAATTTTTTTCTTTATTGCTCTTAACCCTGTGCATTTGTATCAGCTTTTGCTTTCATTTCTTGTTCACTTTGCTAGTGAGGCTGCTGAACTATTTGCAACTTGATTTTTAATTTGACAGTCCATTAGTTTTTAAAATTTTCTGTTTCCCTTGTAAGCCTTACCAGGCTTCATGCTTCTTTAAGATAGTAGTGTCCTTTTGCAAAGCGTTAGCTAACCATATAAGCATAAGAATTAGATATAGAAATGGATTAAATAAGTGTTGATATGCTGTTTAAGTACATTCATGTACCTGGAATGGTCTGTTGACTATGACAAATAAGTATAACATATACCTTTTCCCCCCCAATTTTAAATTAATTACCAAAAGAGAACATTGCATTGACTGAGTTCTTTAAATAAAAAGAAAATAGATTAAAAGAAAATGTAGTACATAATTCAATAATACTTGATTTTAGTAAAATTTTCAGTGCTGATGACTGTAGTTCAAAACTCACTCATCATAAATGAATTTTCCAAATGGAAAAATAAAATCGTGAACTACATATTATACTTCTGGAAATTCTAAAAAAGATACTGATATACTCTTGAGAGTGGTTTAAAATTAAAAAAAAACTTTGAAGTTTTTTTTTCAAATGAGCTTACATCAAAGCCCAACACATTCAGACAGTGAATTACTGCTCTGGATGATGTGAAATGGGGCTGAGTATGGACCTGGCTCTTGGACTATTGAGCCAGAATCTCTGGACTCATCTCAGGTTCTAGATAGCAGAATTTGTAAAACCTGACAAGATAGAAGACTTACCATTTTTGCATATATTCTCAGATAGAATTAGATTTTATATTAAGACATGGCCAATGAGAGTTGAGAGTGATGGTTGATTTAGATTTAGAAAAACATATAAAAATTTAATTTATACCCTTCATGCTTTCAAATATTCGTAAATTAGCAGTCCCTTTGCCTTTTAATGCCTAGTAAAACTTAGAGCATGCTGCAGAGAAAGATGGGCTTATTTGTCAGGTATAATTCTTAATATGTTAATGTACTTATTAACACTATTACAAGCAGATTGGAAAATCTACAGTACTGTTTGAGACTATGCCTTTTTTTGTTGTGTATAGTGTTCCATTATATACATAAAGCATACTGAGTTCCTTTTTTTCAAATCATACTAATTTTTGCTTCATGGTGTATATTTTGATTCCTTTCTCTACTGTTATATAACTTTTCAAGAGTGACTCCTGAATTCAGATTAAATAAGTACCAGAAATAGATACGGTTTTTAGTAGGAAATGGGTACAGCTTAACCACAAAGATGTCACAGTTTACTTTTCTCTGAATTGTTTTCAGAATTTGCTGGTGACGGGGGCAGTCGATTGTAGTTTGAGAGGCTGGGACTTGAGGAATGTACGGCAACCAGTATTTGAACTTCTTGGTCACACCTATGCTGTTAGGAGAGTGAAAGTAAGTTTTTATCTTTTCTTTTTATACATAGAATAAAAATATAGATATAAATACCATCAATGAAGTATATGTAAATGGTGTTCAGGGGATGGGGTTATCGATTCTTTCTTATGCATGGTTTTGTTATCCAATTAGTGATTATGAACATTGAAAGCTAAAATTAGGTAAAATATTTGAATAATTATTGAATGAGTTGGAACAATGTAGTCAGTCAGTACTTACAATTAAATAAAAATGTTTTTCTCATTCTGTCATCCCCATCTACTATTACTTTAGTATTTTTAAACTATAGTAATTTACTCTTCGTATTATATTTTTTATAATTTTCTATTCAGTGGAAGGAGGTCACTTTACTTTGTTGAAACTCATACAGAGAGATGGTTAATTCTCTCTTTTCCCCAGCATGATTGTATGTATGAATGTTTACAAAGTTTAGGGTATAGAAAATTTTCCACTTTGCAAACAGCAGAGGATGAGGTAACTTCTTTCTGCTGCTCTCCCCAATTTTGTCAGGTTCTAAAGTGACGTAAGTTAGTTTCCCAGCTTCTATTTAGGTAAATTTTGCTGTCACTGTGGAAAACATCTTATTAAAAGACATCTCCCAATTTCATTCTTTGTGCTTTACATTCAGTGTAAGAATGTACTTTTTGATCTTTTCATTAAGATAATTATATTATTCCTATTTTAAAAATTCTAAATTGCAGTTAATATTTTAAATTTTGCTGGTTACAATTCAACATATGAGAAACAGTGCCTGTTTTATTTTTTTAAAATGGCACCCAGGATTTAGTAGTGAAAAAAATATTTTCTTCATATATTTCATTGTGCTTCTGAGAATGAAATAGGGTAGGTGATGTAGTGAAAGTATTTCACAAATGATAAAGCGCATTCAAATGTAATTATATATATGTATATAACCACTCAAGTACTGGTAAGAAAAACACTGAAGAAATAAAATTGCAAAGCATAACCTATTAAAGCATGTTTATTATTTATATAAGATATTACTTGTCTTTAAATTTGTGGTTTTTGACCTTGATATCATTAGCTATGATATACATACAAGAAAATTATTTAAAATTGTTTAACATTTGAATGTTTATTTGATATTTGTGGTAATGGCGATCATAATGTGTATTCATAAAATTGGTAAATTACATAATTATATATATGCAGTATCTTAAATCTCTTGTATTTTTAGGACTCCTTTTTGGATATGAAATTGTATTTTATTTTTCCAGAATAACAACATTTTGGAAATATTCTAATATAAACTCTAAAAGTCTTGAGAGATGACTTTCTTTGAAGAATGTGAAAACAACTGTTTTTCCTATAGATGGGTATTTAAAAGTCTAGAAGCTTTTTGCCTTGAATTGAAGCATATAAGGTTTTGAAAAGCATGATTTTAAGTGACAGTCTTGACTAAACTTTAATTTATTATAATGTTCATGAGAATGACCACATGAGATAGCACGTTATAATTACAGTTAACCCCAGAAAGTTTTTTGTTTTTGATTTTTGTAGTTTTCACCATTTCATGCTTCTGTGCTGGCCTCTTGCTCCTATGATTTTACTGTAAGGTCAGTGGTTTTTGATATATTTCAGTGTGAAATATCAAGTAGCATTTGCATCTTTGCAGCTTTTATGAAGGATAATGTGTTTGTCTTACTAATATAAAAATAATATGGTCTGGGCACATTTGAATATTTGCCCCTGGGATTAATATTTTATTTTTCTGTTATTATGATCTGGCCACATATAGGAATAAATTCTTTACTATTTAAAGATTAGCCTGGTTACTCTATTTAAAAGACTTTTCCTAACAGTTGTTCCTAGAGTAATATCTTCCTATGCTATAGATTGAATAGCCAATATCTTTAAAATTTTGATTTTAAAAACTGTGACATTTTATTTCTTCAGGTTTAATTATAGGCTAAGGCTATAGACTGTTAAGGTTAAGATTGTTATAGATGAAAAAAATCAGCATGAGTGTATGTGTGTTTGTGAATAGTACATATGTAACTGTGTATGTATGTGCGTATACATGTGTATCTATGTATGAATATATCTATCTCTATTCATATTCCCATTTCTAATCCCACACCACACAGGGTTCATTCTACTTTTTCTCCTTTTCCAAATTTATGACCTCTGATTCTTATTGTTCACAATACATTTACCTATTTGCTACCTTACAATGCTCAGAAAGTAGTTTGGAAATCACTGTATATCAGTTCATAGAGATCTTTTTCATTCTGCATAATACTCCGTTATGTGGCTATGCTATACTTTATTTAGCTACTCTCCCATATATGGGCATTTAGCTTGTTTCATATATTTTATAAATGAATAAATGACTTTGTATATATGTATGTTCACATCACTAGAGAATTAATTTCAGAGTCTACTCCTAGAAGTGGGATTGAGGGATTAAAAGGTAAATACACACACACACACACACACACACACACATATATGTACATATATATATACACACACATACACACACACAAACCATATAAACATATATATATATATATATATATATGATTCTGTTAGATATTACCAAATTCCCATCCATAAGAAATATACTTGTTTCCATCCCACATGTCAACATTGGAAAGCACCTGTTTCTCTGTTATCTAAAGATTATTGATTCTTTAGGAGTTTCCAAGTTCATGATCATATCATCTGCAAATAAAGGTGGTTTTACATCTTCAGTTCCAGTTCTGATGCCCAAACATGAGGATGCGTGTATCTTTTAGAGTTAATGTTTTTATTTTCTTCAGCTGAATACCCAGAAGTGGAATTGATGGATCATATGGTATTCTATTTTTAAATTTTTGAGGAACCTCCACACTATTTTCCATAGTGGCTACACGACTTTACATTCCCACCAACAAGGATTCCCTTTTCTCCGCATTCTTGCTAACACTTAATTATTTCTTGCCTTTTGTAATAGCCATTCTAACAGTTTTGAGGTGATATTGTAGTTTTGGTTTGCATTTTTCTAGATAAATGATGTTGAGCACCTTTTCATGTACCTATTGGCCATCTGTATGTCTTCTCTGGGAAAATGTCTATTCAGATCTTCTGCCCATTTTAAAAACAGGATAATTTGTTTTCTCACAGTTGAGTTGTGTGAATTCTTTATATATTTTGGATATCAGTCCCTCGTTAGAGATATGTTTTGTAAATATTTTCTTCCATTCAGTAGGTTGCCTTTTCATTTTGTTGCTGGCTTCCTTTACTGTACAGAAACTTTTCAGTTTGATGTAGTCCTACTTGTTTCTTTTTGCTGTTTTTGCTTTTGCTTTTGGTGTCAGGTCTGAAAGATCATCACCAGGACTTACGTCAAGAAGCTTACTGCCTGTATTTTCTTCTAGAAGTTTTATGGTTTCAGGTCTTACATTCAAGTCTTTAATCCATTTTGAGTAAATTTTTGTGTATGTTGTAAAATAATGATCCAGTTTCATTTGTCTCTATGTGCCTGTCCATTTTTCTAATGCTATTTATTAAAAAGACTGTCCTTTCCTCATTGTTTACTCTTGGCTCCTTTATTGTAAATTAATTTATCATATAAGTGTGGGTTTATTTCTGAGCTCTCTGTTCTGTTCCATTGATCTCTGTGTGTTTTTATGCCAATACCATACTGTTTTAATTACCATAGCTTTGTAATGCGTTGAAGTCAGGAAGCATGATGCCTCCATCTTTGTTCTTCTTTCGCAAATTACTTTGGCTATTCAGGATCTTCTGTGGTTCCATACAGATTTTAGGATTGTTTGTTCTATTTCTGTAAAAAATGCCATTGGAAGACCAATCATTCTCAACAGTAAAAAGTTAGAAGCTTTTCTTCTAAAATTAGGAACAAGACAGAGATGCCCATTCTTACTGCTTTTATTCAACATAATATAGGAAGTTCTACCCAGAACAATTAGACAAGAAAAAGAAATAAAAGGCACCCAAATTTGAAAGGGAGAAGTAAAGTTGTCACTATTTGCAAATGAAATGATATTACATCTAGAAAACCCTAAAGACTCCATAAAAAAACTGTTAGAACTAATTAGAAACAAATTCAGTAAAAGTTGCAGGATACAAAACCAATACACAAAAATTAGTTGCATTTCTATATACTAATAGCGAGCTATCAGAAAGAGAAATTAAGAAAACCATCCCATTTGTAATTGCATCAAAAAGAATAAAATACCTAGGAATAAATTTAATATAGCAGGTGAAATACATATATGTTGAAAATTACTGAAATTAATGAAAGAAATTAAAGAAGACACAAATAAATGGAAAAATATTCCATGCTCATGGATTGGAAGAATTAATATTTTTTTAATTGTTTCAAATTTATTGATGAAAAACGTTATGATCAAATAAATAATTTCTAATACTTTTTTTAGTAGTAGAAATCTTTCATTAAAGGAAATCTTAAATAGATGGCTAAAATGTAAAATATGTGACAAAAGGAGTTATTTCTTTTGGTTGAAGAGTTGTTGAGAGTCTTGGACATCCTGCACTGATTCATTTCTTTTAATTAAGAAATTTCTTATCTTTTAGACTCTGAACTATAGTAACTTAACATCATAGTAACTTAACCCCAAGGCTACAAATTTCTCAATTTGAAAGACAGTAATTTTTCCCTCCAGGTCACAAAAGCAACATTTAATAAGACTTTTATTTCCCTCTCATCTAGTAAGAAGAAAATTAAACCATAAAGTTCCTACCTTTTCCCTACTTGCATCTATTTTTGTTTTTGTTTATGTATTTATTCTACACTAGAATTTATTCTATGCTTTTGACCTATTTGTCTGTCTCTATGTTAATATCATACTGTGTATGTTAATAACTAGCTTTATAATAAATCTTGAAGTCATGTAGTATATAGTCTTTCAACTTTGTTTTTCCACGTTTGTTCTTTTGGGTATTTTAAGTCCTTTACAATTCTGTATCAATTTTAGAATCAGTGTCTCAATTTCTTAAAAAAAAACTTCAAAACAAATAACAACAAC